GCCTGCCTTCCTGGGTTTTAGGCTGCTTTGCTGTTCTCTTCATCACTACTGCTTTTCAATACAGTCAATTTCAATACTGTCATCATTACTCTAGTCCAATTATCTTCTTGCCCGCCTTCTTAGAGCCAATCAGTATCCACTTTGCGTTGTTTAAATCTGCGCTCTCTGTCGTTCTCCCTTTCAGACTCATTCGTGTAACCCACCTCCTCCCCCATCTCCACCTAGCAGACAATTCAGTGAGCTTCATCCAAGCCTCAGTCTTAATCTTCACCAGCACCTAGACTCCTGTTCTATATCTGATCACCACTGGGATTCTGTTCTGCCATGATGGGTCATCGGAGTCTAACTGCCAAATACATGAATTTCTCTATCAATAAATCCTGTTCTTCCAGATGGTTTCTCCTTATTTAAAAGAAATTATATTCTTAGAATCTGTGTAGGAAATATCACACAACGCCAATAATTTATTGGGACAAGATTTTATTTTTTGGTGATTTAAGAACACATCAGAGCAGCTTCAAATGTACCTCTAGGAGTGCTTCAATATTTCCTGTAATGAAGATGTTTTCTGGACAGTTTCACATTCTTGAGGGAAGATGGGGATGGGCCGAAGGAAGATTTCATATAAGTGTTTAGAAGTTACAATGTTTAACCTGATTTTGTCTGGTGGAGGGGGTGGAAAGTGCTGCCACAAACACAAACACAAACACCGGTTTATCTGCATTGAAACTCAATAGAAAGACATTTCTTTATGTTTAAAGAGACAAAATACACACCAAACATTAAAATTTAAAAAAATTCTTACATTTTTTTCTTAATTAAAAAAAAGGTTTATATACTGAATATCTTCTAATAGAAACCCTTAAATATAATTAGTTCTGTGACCCCAAACCAAATCTGAGTCTTTACCACAGACTCGTGTTATGTCTTTAAGTCCAGGGAGGTTTCACGAGGTAGACAGATGTGCTCTTTGGGGGGGAGGAACAGTCTTGCTTTGGCTCAGTTTGTCCTTTTTTCCCCAGGTTTGGTTGTGTGGTGTCTCCACTGGTCACAAATCAGTTCATTTAATCACTTTTCAGGCTCAGCAGGGCCGCTCGGCTGCTTGCAGAGGAGCTCCAAACATTTCCTGAGAGGCATAGGTGATATACAGGAAGCCGTCAGCATCTCTGTAGCGGGTATACACCTCCCCCATGTTGGAAGACATGCAGGACATGCTCTTCTCCGCCACCAGGAGAAACAGAGCCTGGGTGGAGTCCAGAGCGATTTTATTCCTGGAGGGGAGACAGTTGGAGAGGCAGACTGAGATTTTTAGGACAAAGGAAGACAGAATGTGAGGGAGGCAGAGGCATGGAGAAGAATGACAAATCTCACAACTTGCAGGAGAAGAAAAGGGCTTTAAAAATCAGAACAAAAGAACCTGCTGTGAGTCACAGATGACGTACCTGAGCAGGCAGAGGAACTGACCCAAGGTGAGCTCATAAGGAACCAGGAACTTTGTTTTGTCCAACAGGGGAAGGGTCCTTTCACGGATGTAACGTTCGACAATCACCTAAAAGCGAAAACACGTCTGCTTTACAGGAAGTTCAACAACATGCATCTATTATGTCTTTAAAACATCTTAGTCTGAATCGACTTACAGGCAGCTTGTTGGGGAATTTAGACCGAATGCTGCACACTTCGTTTTTTCTTGTTGCTAGAGAAAAAGAAATAAATTTGAAGACCATATTTTACACACATGCTTTAAAAACAGCATCCACTCAGTGAAAGGTCAACCAAATTGTCCTACCGAGACATTTCCTCTGCTTGAAGGGCACCGTTTCCACAGATTTCTCAAAAGGAGCCATGTGTGCTTGGTTTTGTTGAGTGTTGGTGGTGATGGAGGCTGTCTCGCCCGGGCTAACGACAGAGTCCCCTCGGGTGGAAGTAAGCAAACCCCGACGAGCTGAGGTGACCACTCGTGTTTTATAGGGAGCGTGGGCTGGGAGGAGTCTAAATGTGACACCAGCAAACAAGGACACGCTCCTCGTCCTGGGGAGAAGTGTGTATGGATGCAGAGGTGTGTGTGTGTGATGTGTGTCCTCTTCAGAACAGATTCACACATACTGGCTATCTCTCTGAGTGTTCTCACGTCGGCTTGTGATTTCGGTGCTGCTGTCACGTACACAGAGGAGGACACTATGTGAAGAACACAGCGTAACGAAGGAGGCCCGCCTCCAAGAGAAGCAGAGGTTCCTAAACAAAGCTGCACAACCCAAACTGTCACACTCAAAAACTAGATGAGCCATACTTCTATCCTTTCACTTAGCGTCTGACGTAGGACACCATGGTCATCTTTAGAACATTTAACCCACGTTAAGCTAAACTTTTACCCTTGACTAACAATGGCCAGCACCAGTGATGACAGTGACTTGAGCCTGTGTGCTTCTAATTACAGGAAGTACTGTGTTACTCATGTCTGCAGCATCTCCAAGCTCCAAATGTTATCTTATTACCTTTTTAAGTGCTGTGTGTGTTTCACACATATGGACACAGAGACATTCATTTAGATCCTCAGCCAGAAATCTGTAGTTGTTTCCACATCACATCTAAGGTCAAAGGGCGATTATGCTTTGGCTGTCCAGCTTCACCAGTTGTTGACTGACCGGCCTGATGAAGTCTGATTTGCCTCATCAGCATCTTCTTTTAAATCACTGCCAAAGACTTGTTTATATCATGTATATGATATCTGTTGATATCCGTTTTTGTGTAGATTTTTGCCATACTCTGCTGATTCTTTTAACATTTAGATAGTTTTTGTCTTCATTTTAAGTTATTTATTACAGCAGGTCACACTGTATCTTCTTCGTATTGTCATTTTTGAATGCTGTGTGGCCCATTTTTAACTGATTTGTAAATTGTTTTTATAATTTGCTCTTAGTTTGTTCTTTTATTCTTTGTTTCCCAGAAGCACTTTGCAATTCTGCTTTGCACATAAACTTTAATATTATTATTAGTGTTATTATTATCATTATATTAACTGAGGCTGTATTATTTTTATTTATTCAGTCTCTTTACACTTCTCTTTCTATTTTCTTTTGGATGCTCTAAAATCTGCGTGAAAGCTGCTTCCCTGCTGAATTTACTGGAGTTGTCAGTTTGTTATGGAGCTAAAACTAGTATTTTGCAACAAGAGTTCAGCAAGTATCATCACAGCGACAGCTATTTATGTTGGTTCCACAAAGACTGTAATTTAACTATATTTCGTTATACAAAAATGTGAGTTCAGGTTTTGTGGAACCCATTGTGAATAAACTGTCAGCTGAGTTATGAACAATGCATTTCTCTTTAAGGAGCTCATGCAGCAATGGACAGCTGCTCTGCTCTGGATAAAGATTGCCCTCTGCTGGATGGAAGGTAGCCTAAAGGTCCCCTGCACTGCAGAGGAGACGCTCACCTATGCCTATCGTGACATTTTCCCCAGTGGCTTCATTCTTAGTGGAGTGATAAAAACTCTTGTCAGTTTGTCTCCCCAAACTGACGACTTTATGCTTTTTAAAACTTTCATAAAGTATATTTAAAACAATATAAATCTAACTAACAGAGTCAGAATTTAAAATAAATACATAAATAAATGTAACGCTGAGAAAAAGTCAAAATTTTCATTTCGAGAGATGATTTCTGACTTTACTCTCATTTATTATATCACTAGGCTATTCTCAATATTTTTAGAATAAAGTGAGAAAAGAAAATCATAATTCTGAGATTAAAGTTGAAATGTTGAGTTTAAATCTGGATTCTGAGAAGTCAGACTTCAGAGGAAAGTCAGAAATTAAAGAAATAAAAAATCTGATTGATGAGAATAAAGTCATAATTCTGACTGTTTCCTGTGAATTCTGATTTAATCTCAGATTTCTTTCAGATTTAAAAAAAAATTGATTCATGACACAACATTATTTTTTCTGAGGCTTTAACCTTCTTCTGTAGTAAGACAATTGAAACTTGTGGGTGGATCCAATGTTGCTCCGTTCTGGCATCCTCTCCTCCCATGCCTGCCAACTCCAAGCTGCCCACATGTCACATACAGTAAACACAGCAGACTGGCCAGGGTAGCTCACTGTGAGAGCAAATAGTGCTCAGAGGTCACTGAATGTCACTCAGCACAAGGTAATTAAGGATTATGCTATTTGTCATCACAAAATAAATGAAGATTTTAAAAGATCCAAACTGTTTAGTTGCAAGAAAACCACAAAAGTGACAAACATGTCAGTTCAGTTGTATCTGTTTAACACAAATGTGCAACAACAGTCACCTCAAGGAACTTCATATTGTAAAATAAAGACCCTAGAGTACAAAAAACAGGCAAGCAAACAAACAATAGGGAAAGACCCTTTTTGCAGAGTGCATACTTTTACTAGTAAATATCATGACCGTGTCAACGATGCTGAAACGAAAGCACTTTTGTGTTAGCTGTGCATTTTTTCCCCAAGAAAAGAAGAGGATAAAAACTTTGTTGTGAATTTTTTCCCATATAAGGTCAAACCTTGCCCCCTGTGGTGTCTGGAGAGCTGAGGGCCCAGAGAGGGAGCCTGATTCACCTTGACTGGTAACCATTGGTAACCGTCATTCACCACACCTAGGAACTTTATTTTTGTGAAGCTGCTTCAGCACAATTCCTGTGCTCAGTCTCTTCCTTATGTTAGCAGAAGGTCGTAAACTATAATGATTTATTACTATACATATAAGAAAGTATAAGCAGCTTTTAAAACTTGAAGCTATTTGACTACTAGTGTATCACATGTGACAACTAGGATATGTTCCACTCTCATCCCCGCCTTCCACCCACCCCAAATCCTGAATTAGACGGATAAGAAACCCGGGAGAAAGAAACTGGATGGATGGCAAACACAGCTGCTTTCATTTATTTACCCT